CCATCCCCCTGGGAGGGGGTTGTATGTAGATCATTGTGATTGGTTCCCCCTTCCTGTCCCCCACCTTCCCCTTCCCCTCCTGGTTTGGCTACTCTCAATATTGGTCCTGAGGGTTGATCTGTTTGGTTCCCCGTGTTTCCAGCTCTTATTGTGCCCGTGCACATGCTCCTCCTCCTTGTTTTTTAAGGAGGCACAATAGTCCATTTTCCGTATGTCTCAGAGTTCGTTTATCCGTTCCTCTCCAGAAGGGATTTTTGACTGTGTCCATTTTTCTGCCATTATAGAAATGGCTGCAGTACACCTGGGGGTGCACCTGTCTGTTCCTGTTTTGTTCTTTCTTTTTTCAGCCTGTATGCCAAGGAGAGGGACTGCAGGATCGTCAGGCACTTGTATTTGCATCCGTGTTCGGAAACGCCATACTGTGTTCCAGGGCGGTTGTGCAAGTCCCCGGCACCCACTAGCAATGTGTGAGCGTTCACATCTCTCCACGCCCTCTCCGGCATGTGTGATTTGTCAGTGTGAGGAGGTAGCTCATGGTGATCTATTTTGTGTTTCTGTTATGCCTAATGAATGTGAACATTTTTCCATATGATGGCTGGCCACCTGGATGTCATCTTTAGCAAATTATCTACTTAGGTCTTATGCCCATTTTTTCTATTTTTGATTATTTGTATTTTTCATATGAAGGTGTTTTAGTTTTCCCATAGATGTTTGAAATTAGCCCTTTATCTGATATATCACTGTCAAATATTTTTCCCTATGTGTGACTTCTCTGTTTACTCCTCTGATGAAGTTTTTAAAAAAATAAATCATTTTATGGGGGGCTCATACAGCTCTTATCACCATCCATACATCCAACCATTGTGTCAGACACATTTGTACGTATGTTGCCATCATCGTTTTCAAAACATTTTCTTTCTACTTGAGCCCTTGGTATCAGCTCATGTTCCCCGCTCCTCCCCTCTTTCCCTCATGAACCCTTGATAATTTATAATTTTTCCCCACGTGTTACACTGATCGATGTCTCCTTTCACCCACTTTTCTGTTGTCTGACCCCCAGGGAGGGGGTTATATGTAGATCATGGTGATCGGTTTCACCTTCCTCCTCCCACCTTCCCCCTTCCCTTCCTGGTAT